TGTGAAAATATAAAAAAATATCATCAAACTACTGAATATAATAGGAAAATTTAATGTTCTTCTTCTTTTTCTTCTTTGTTCTAGGTTGAATCTTAGTTATAATTTAACTCATAACTGAACCGTAAGAGCTAAAATTCAAAACATATTAATTAAGTTGTAAAATTACACAAATATGATACAACAAAAAGTCATATACACTACATTAATAGAAACTAATAGTCATTGATGATTTTTAAAGCTTTAGCATTCTTCTGATATATACCAAATATAACATAAATTGTCTAAAACGAAAAAATAACAATATTTATATAAACACACATTTAGTTATTTTAGGGATGCATGAATACATACTTGGACTCTAAAATTGTTGGTCTATAAAAGAGATTTATTGGTTCGAAAAAATATAAAATCTCAAATGCATTGTTTTTTAACGGTTCGATTCGGTATTTTACTATTTTTCAATTCTAAACGGTATGGTTTTGGTTCGAGATAAAATTCTATAGAACCGTTTAAATACCCGGTATTCGGTTCGGTATCATTACGGTCCTGTTCGGTACCGATTCGGATCCGTTTTTATGCCCACCCCTAACGACCATAATCTTAAGAGAAGATCTGTTATATCTCGTTGGAGAAGGTAATATCCTAAACATTACTTATGATGACAGCTCTTGGATTGTTGGTTCTGGTGCTTCATTCCATGTTACTCCGCATGAAAATTTCTTCTCATCCTACAAAAGCGGTGATTTTGGTACTGTACAAATGGGAAATCAAGATAGAAGCACGATCATCGGGATAGAAGATATCATACTCATAACAAGCACCAGATACAACATATCCTAAAAGATGTGAGGCATGTATTGGCCATGTGCCTCAATCTTATCTCCGCTGGAAAATTAGACGATGCTGGTCTGATGAATTATTTTGGTGAAGGAAAGTGGAAGCTCACCAAAGGAAGTCTAGTCATGGCTCGAGGAAACAAAGAAGAATCATTGTATGTGGTACAAGCTAATCTCTGTAAAGTAGAAGTAAACATAACCACTGATGATATGGAAGTATGACATAACTGACTTGGCCACATCAGTGAGAAGAGTCTCTGCATACTTGCTCAGAAGCAAATCCTACTCACTCCTCATTGAAACAGTGACTCCCGCATGAGGTTAGCAAAAATGTTTTCTTAAATGATTCTGAAATGTTGATCTACATGATAACATTAGAAGAGTATGTGGGATATTTGTGAAAGAATCACCTGTGTGAGAGAGAAGAAGGTCGCTTCAAAGGAGAACTGTGGAGGCTAAGTTCTTTAGGAACTCTCGCAGAACCATGATGATGAACCATGGCTAAAACAGGCACACCCATGAGAACGGAACAAAGGTGGGAGGTTCCTGTGTAAAGATCAGTCAATGTTTACACAACGACAATGTAGTTCAAGGACATCAAGTCTACTAGATATCCAGTAAACAAACATGTCTTTACAGCGAAAAGCTCAAAGGATAAAACCTAGCTCTCCGTATGCAGGGATCATCCGATGAACACAGTCATGTCTATGTATCTTCGTGTCTTATTCAAGTCTCGAAAATCAATTTATTCATGTATGAGTTGTTGGAAAAAATGTTTAAAAAATGCATTAAATGGTCATTTTGGAAAGATTTTTCAGTGGTGTCCACATTCGATTTGTGTTGGGTCAAAGTGATTTCAGATTCTCTTTTTAAGGGATTCAATTCGATATGTAGCACATTCAAAATGGATGATGGGTAAATGAGAATTTTTTTTCTCAATTTGAGGTGTTTTCGAGTGGAATTTCTTGATGAAATTTTGTAATGATGTTCTCCATGAATTGCAGCTTATGTCCACCAGATTTCATTTTAAAATTCAATTAGAAAATCAATTAAATAAATTATTGAAAAACAATATATTTTTGGAAAAATTGACAAGAATAATACCACATTTGACTGATTTGCTCATAATAATCCCACCTTTACGTATTCCGAGAATAATCTCACCTTTGCACCTCATCTTCTTTTGTTGGAACTTGACCAGTTGGTGATGTACTATACCAGTTTTTTTGCATTTTTTGGAAAACTTATATAAATAATCACACATTTCACAAATTTGCTCAAAACAATCTCATGATTCATTTTTTTCCTTTTTCTCCCAAAAAATTTTCCCAGTATTTTATGCATAGACACTTTATTATTCATTTTGCTATTTGGGAAGGAAATTTTATAAAAAACAATACTCCTAATATTTTTAGGGAGAAAAAAAATAAAAAATGAAACATGGGACCGCTTTGTAAAATTTCCTTCCCAAATAGTTTTGATGGTACCATGGACTCTAACCATAGCCCAATTACGGAACTGTAAATAAAGCCTATAACGGGATCAAGCCCTCAACGTGATTAGCCCTTAAAGGGATCAGCCCATACACAGGATTAGCGTATTAGCCGTTGGGCCTAACGAGGAATCAGACTCACAACAGGAATCCACAACCAGGCCAGGCTGAACAAGCAGACCTCGAGCCTGGGCGGAGTTCTCGTGAGGTCAGGATATTCCTAGGGCTTACGTGACAGGCTATCATTCGTGCATAGCTATTTGGCAGCAGGCAGGAACAAGGACTTAAAGGAACAATCATTGCTCAACATCCAAGACGTTACAAGAGTCTAATTCGATTAAACATATAATTAATAGCATTTATTGTATCAGTTTCCTCCTAGAATACTAGTTCCGATAGTCTATAAATACTTCCTGTAAACTTCCTATCAAGGGACTGAACTTCGGATAATAGAATATTGTCTTACACTGTCATATTTTCATCTGCTCTCGTAGATATAGCTCTCGTAGTTGGATTAAACTCCATCAAGTTCTATTGTCATTTTCTTTTTCTTCGTGTATTTTTATTTCATTTCCCTTTATTAATTTCTCTTCTTAATCACTCTTTTTATTAAAGATCTTTTTCTTACTCAACCTTTTGTTTTATTTTCTTTTTATTTTCACTTTTTCCCTTTTTCTTCTTGTTACTTTTTTTTATGTTTTGTCTTCTTTCTTCTTGTTATCTTACATTTTCCGGAATGTTTTATTTTTCTTTACATTTCCCGAATGTTTTATTTTTCTTAAAGATTTATTTTTCTCTAATCTTTTTTTCACATAGAGTTTTTCACACAATTGATGAAATTAATGTGTTGATTTACTCAAAAAATTACAATAATGAAGAAAGAAGAAAAAATATATTGATGATGGAATTAAGATAACAAGAAGGAAGAAAAGAAGAAAGAAGAAAACAAGTTTAAAAAAGTAACAAGAAGAAGAAAAGGGGGAAATTGAAAATAAAAACAAAATATAACAAAGAGTAGACCGAAAAAAGATCTTTAATAAAAAGAAAACGACTAAGAAGAGAAACATTTATAGGGAAATGAAAGAAAAATAGGGAAGAAAAAGAAAATGAAAAAAAATGTATTTGGGAAGGAATTTTACAAAAAAACTATTCTAATAGCTAGAGTGAGAAATAGAATAAAAAATATGGAAAAGAAATTAAAATGAAAGGATGGAAAAAGGAATAAAAAAATTCCATGGAGAAAATAAAGAAAGAAAAAATTTTGGAAGAAAAAGAAAAAATGAAACATGGGATTGTTTTGAGCAGATTTGTGAAAGGTGAGATTATTTATGTAAGTTTTTTCAAAAAAATGCAAAAAAACAGGTATAGCAGGTCACCATCCGATCAGGGTCCAACCAAAGAAGATGAGGTGCAAAAGTGAGATTATTCTGGGAATACGTAAAGGTGAGATTATTATGAGCAGATCGATCAAAGGTGATATTATTGTTGTCAATATTTCCTATATTTTTTATATGGAGTGCATGGTTTGCGCAGTGTTTTATAATAATTTATTTAATTGGCTTTACGTTTAAATTTTAAGGTGAAATTCGGTGAATTTTAACAACACACACACATAATCTCATAAAAAAATCCAGTAACTCGGATGGAGACGTCGGGTAGTTCTGTTGGTTGAGTGGTGGGAAAGTTGAAAGAATGACCAAGGATCGAATCTCGCAGCGGCCGTGTGAAGTTACAGCTCTTGCGTGTTGGAGTGGGCCTCTGGTGCGCACGATTATAAGATCTACCAATATTGGGTCGACTGAGTCCGCGTGATTAACATAAGTTTTGTCGGATGGGGACGTGGGGGCCTTGAGGTTGGGGATTCAATTGAAAGAATGTATACCTAAAATTATGAGAGGCGGAAAAGACGTGAGAGTTCCTGAATTGGAATGAATTCGAAATGCAAGCAAGGCATGTGGTAGACACACGTCACGCCTAACTCAATATGGAACCATCCTATTGAATTGTAACTAAACACATATAAATTGAAACACGCATCATCAGTTACCTGTTTAAATGAACTACTACTTGTGTTGTTTTTTTGGCAAAAAGCCTAAAAATAATTGGTAAAGTTGGCGGTATTCAACTACATACATACCGTTAGGTAATATATAAAATCAAATCAGATTAGATATTATAAAATTCCCTCCTCAAATATATGAGCACGGGTGGGGGTATGGCTGGAAAGGAAAGGGGAACCAAATTCTCCAATTTGTTGTACCCAAATTTATACACACTATATTTGTAAAGGTTTTTTTTATTTGTGAATCCGTTTCACAGAGAAAATATGTCTTATTTTGTTTATACAAAATTTGCACAGACATATCTCAACATCGATTCCTTCTGATATGTCAATAGGGTAAATACGCCCATAGTGGCTAGGGTGAATATCTCGGATCCGAAAACTAGCAGTGTGTCCTGTCAGCTCCGGAGGTTCTAAATAAATGAATTTTCTTGAATGAACTATTTGTGTGTATATATAAGTGGATATAAATGTGGATACAAACGTGCTTTTAGAGCATGGACCTTTTCATGTAGGCCCCACCCCTGTGTTGACTGGTACATACTCCGCATTATCATCATTGATTGTAATGCGATAAGTTATCCACGCACGCTCTCATCATTATGATTAGCAAAGGGGAAGATTGACTGACTAGTAGGTGAGAGACATTCACATTCATTCATACAAGGAAAGCACCCCCTTTCACTGCAACATTTTGAGGTGGCTAGAAGAAGGAAATACAGTCCAGTCCTACTACGTTACGTTTCTGGGATGAGTTTCTTGTCTCCGGGACCCCTTTCTTCTGCTTCTTCCGTTTTCAGCGTGGCTGCCGGAGTTGCAGGTAATCCATCCACCCATTTGCCTCTCTGCCTTTTATTTCTTACTTCCTTCTGGACATTTGTCGTTAATAAGATTTGAATCTGTCCACATTTTGGTCTTTGTTTTTCCTTTTTTCTGCTCATCTTTTTTCTTAAGTTGTTTGTATTTTGGGTTCTTATTGTGTGCTGTGTTCAGTTTGAAAAAAAACCGATATATGGATATTAGTTATGGAAATCTATTGGAGTAGACTTTTTTTACAGATTTTTGGATCAATAAAAGTGATTGTGAGCTGTCCTAGGAACTGGAATGTCCTCAGAAAATGGAATTCATATTATTGTTCGCACTCGTTCTATTTATATCAATCAATATATTCCGTCTCTCCCTGTCTCCCATTTTCAAATCCCTGTAATTTTTGGGAACTCCTAAATAAACTCCAAAGATAATTTTTTCTCAAATAATTTAATTATTAAATGGTGTCAAACAATATCAGAATAATTGTACTCTGGTACTCGTAATATTTACACTCCGTGAAAACACTTATTTAGGAAGTCAGTAAAAATATTCGATTTCTTCAAACTAAGTAAAATTCAAATTAGGAATTTGTTTAAGGAATGGAGGTGTATATTGGTAAGTTTTAAAGCATTATAACTAAAACATGACGTTTTGCAAGGTGATAACACCACAACAACAACAACAAAGTCCTCCACATGAATATTCACCCTTTCACTTTGCTCACTTTAGTCACTTCAAAGTCATACTCCCATTCAACCCAAGAAGGGGTTTATCACCCTTAATTCCTCCACATCTATTTGGGTCTTGCTCTCCCTCTCTTCATGGTCTCTTCTCCCCACCTCTAACTCGTCTAATAGGTGTATCATTCGGTCTTCTACGCACATGTCCAAACTATCACAATCGAGACTCTTGCATCTTATCTTCTATAGGTGTTACTCCCACATTTTATCTGATATCTCATTCTTCAAGTGGTATTATCCGGTATGTCCATACATCCAACGCAACATATGCATCTATGTCATAGTCATCTTTTGAATGTGACATTGTTTCACTGTCCAACACTCTACGCCATACATTAATGCATATCTAATTGTGGTTCGGTAAATTTTAACCTTCACTCTAATTGGCATACTTGGATCACATAAAAATCCTGACGCCCTCTTCTATTTCGTCCACTCTGCTATGATTATATGGGATACATCTTCATCTAGTTCATTGTCTTTCTGAATTATGGAGCTTAAGTAACGAAACATATCACAGAATGGTATCTCCTTTCCATCAAGGGTAATCCCACCGTTATCCTACTTTTACCTCCACCAAACTTGCATTCCATATACTCAGTATTGCTTCAACTCAATCTGAATCCCTTGGTCTTTAATGTTTGTCATCATACTTCCAACTTTGCTTTAATACTCGATTGTGTCTCATTAATCAATACAATATCGTCGGCAAACATCATACACCACAGTATATGTTCTTGAATTGATTTCGTAAGTTCATTTATGACTTGAGCAAATAAGAAAGGACTCAAAGACATTTCTTGGTGCACTTCGATAGTAATAGGGAACTCGACAATCCTCCCTAAACTAGTGCAGACACTTGTAGTACAAGCATATTACATATCCATGATGATGCTGATATACTTACGTGATATGCCTTTTCTAGTTAGGGCTCACCAAAGGACTTCTCGAGGTACCCTATCATATTCATTTTCTAAGTCAATGAAAACTAACTGTAGACCCTTTTGTGTCTCTATACTTCTCCGCAACTTGTCTAAAAAGGTGAACGGTCTCTGTTGTTGAGCATTTAGACATAAAACTGAATTGATTCTTCAAAATTTTCACACTTCTTCAAAATCTTTTCTGAATCACTCGCTCTTAAAGTTTCATGGTGTGACTCATAAGCTTAATCCCTCGATAGTGGGCATATTCTTGTACATCACCCTTATTTCTAAATAGGCGAATAAGAGTACTCTTCCGCCAACTTACTCGCATTTTGTTGTTTCTCCAAATAATGTTTAAGAAACGTGTTAACCACTCGATTCTGCTATCTCCCAAACTTCTACAAGCCTCCATCGGTATCTCATGTGGACCCACTGCATTCTTTCGCCTCATCTTTCTCAGAGTCTCTTTAACCTTTTCCGTTTGGATCCTTCCAATGTGAAAACACGATAAAAGAAAACATTTTCATCAGCTGCCTCTGCATGTTGCCCTATCCTTTAGCATGCTCATAACATAGCCTTAAAGAGTATGAAGGATTTTGTAAGGTGATGTGTATGTTTATTTTGAAAGTTCCAACACAGACTAACAATAAAGATTGTTTACAAGATTCTTATTCTCTGTGCTTGGGAGTTTGATTATAATTCTATAATCATTTTGTGTTCCATTGGAGGAGGACAATGATAGTATGAGGTACTTATTTATATTTTGTGTTTTTCAAATGCAGGGAATGTATTTGCATTTGTGTTGTTCGTATCGCCCATGTAAGTCCACAACACCAAACCTTAATATAGAAGCTAGAACATGTACTCATGTTGTATGTGTGGGTTGTGGGATTGATTTTGAGTATCCCACATAGCTTACTAGGTTATGACTCTAATTGTTGGTTTAAGGTAAATCTTGCATCTTGAGGATTCTTTTGTGGCAAGTAAGGCCTAATTTAACATAGGACTAAAGAATAATCCAATGGTAGTCTGGGAGGCATCATTTGTGATGGAGCCAAAGAATCACTATTTTTGGCTCGGGAATATGATGGAATAAAGCAAAATGACTCACTAAAGTGTCTGCGTTTCTTTGTTATGAAGCTGCGTACATCCGACCCCCCTTACCCTACCGTAGGTGGGAGACTTTGCGGCAGTGGGAAATGATGATGATGATGATGATGATGATGATGAGTCTGGGGAGGCATTAGCCTACGTGATGGTTCGGGACAGCCCATTGGGGTTGTGTGTTGAGTATGCGGCACCAGTTGTCTAGGAGATCGGAGTCTAGTATATAAGTGTGAGGCAAACTCACCTCTTGAGGATACTTTTGGAATGAGGTAGGTCCCGTTTAAATGTTGAATACTTAAGTTGACGTCACAAATTTCTCTTGCAGACCAACATTCAAGAGAATAATCAGATGCCACTCAACAGAACAGTTTTCTGGATTACCTTATATCTATGCTCTGTTGAATTGCTTAATATGTCTTTGGTATGGCACGCCAATTGTGACTCCGGGCATCATATTGGTTTTCTCTGTGAATTCCATTGGAGCCGTTTTCCAGTTAGTTTATATCAGCATCTTCATCATATATGCAGATGCGGCAAAAAAGGTTAGTTCTCCTTCCTACTATCCTCCTTTCATTTTTAGATGCAACATGCCAAGGGGCAGAAGAATTAAGAAACATATATGAAGCCTTTAGTTTCTGAAATTGCCCGTTTTTGAGAAACTTCAATAAATGCTTCATTTGCGTCTTCAAATTTGACTTCTTCATCTTTGTGGCCTTTGAGTTTGTTATGTCCCCATGTTTCCTCCATCTTCTCTTTCAGTTCAACAGACTTAATCGACAAATAATTTGAAAGTATAAACTTCTCAAAACACAAAACAATGAAAATAATTTTTGAAGCAAAATGTTCCCAATCTGAGTAGATTTCAATTTGGGGTCAACGGATTGGGCATAGAGAAAGTGATGGACATGAAGGGTTAGAAGTAGGTCAAGTAGTGGGGAAAGGGGAGGGTGGATATTTCGTGGGTGGATGAGGGAGGATATTTAACTTCGGGTGAGGTGATGGGTTGGATTAATTAAGGGTAGTAAAATGGGTGTGAGTGTATTGTAGTCAATGTGGTTACTTTTTATTATCAAAAATAGAAGTGTGGCAGTGATAATGAAACTGCTGAAAAGGGAAAGTGTTGCAATTATTTAAGAGCGGATGAAGTATTTCTGAACATCCTGAGTGCCTGTTTGGGACAACTTGTGGGTGCCGGTGCTTTCACATTTAAAAAACGCTTATGTACTGTTGAAAACACTTTTTCCATGCCGGATTGCCCTGCCAAAAACGCTTCTTTTTTATTAAGCAAAAGTAGTTTTCTTCTTCTAAGAAGGACTTGTTCCTTGAAAATAAGTCATCCCAAATTCAGTCTTATTGAATTTGTTGTATTTTGGAATGGTGTGACGTAAAACACCAAAATGGTTTGTTGCAGTTAAAAATGATGGGGTCGGTTCTGGGCATTTTAGCTGTATTTGCGCTTATAGCTTCTGTCAGCCTGTGTATATATGAGCCTCCGGGTAGACAGATTTTCGTCGGATGTTTGTCTGTCCTTTCTCTCATCTCCATGTTCGCTTCTCCGCTCTTTATCATTGTAAGTTGGCCCTGGAACAGTACACCCGTGTTTTCATATAGCTTACGTCCTCTCTTTTTAGACCTGTTAATTTCATTTTGCTGAACTGTTTTGTGTGTATGTGCAGAATATGGTGATCAAGACGAGAAGTGTGGAATACATGCCATTTTATCTCTCACTTGCTACCTTTCTGATGAGCCTTTCTTTTTTTGTCTATGGGCTGTCCGTGCATGATATATTTATTTCTGTAAGTAATACTACGTACAATCGTATTTTCACTTTCATTCCCAAATTCTTACACAATACATTTTTCTGGATTTAAAAGCCAATCCAAATGAGGCCATAGTAACTCTTAGCTTAGAAGGCCATAGGGGAGCAGTAGCTTTGTTATTCAACATACCACTTTTAGAGAAGGTCCACCTTTTAAATGTGCAACTCCTATTGTAAGAGTTTTTTGTAAAGTATATGTATTTTGGGTATATAATCAGGCCCCAAATGGGATTGGAGCAATTCTTGGGGTTGTACAGTTGGTTTTGTACTTTTGGTACAGTGAAAGATCCCAGGATGAGTCAAGAAGGAAGCTGCTAGAGTCTTGTGCATGAAAAACAACTGCTGTTGGCAATCAAAATCCGATTTGTTCCTGGAACCACATAGTTCCTCCCCCGGATTTTTTTTACTTTGGCAGAGCCTGTGAAACGGTGTGGGATAGTGATGCAAACAAAATGCAAATGTGTTGTACTTGTGCTCTAGGAGTCGACCATGCAGCTCTAGAGTGTAATAATATATACAGAGTATCTGTGAACACATGGATAAGAACTGATTGAAAGCTCACATTTAAACGTTGCGGATTCCCAGCTGAGTTCATTCTGTAACACTATCAATCCCCTTCCCTGTCACACTTTTTCCTTTGGTGCAGTGTGTTCTTGCCTTCTCTTGGTGTTTGTACCATTGGGTTCCTGAAAAATGATGGATATTTGTTTTGGTTTTGTCTTTACAATGAGGAAAGAACTCAAAGAAGGAAGCGTGAGAATTAGGAAAGGTGAGAAGAATTAATAACCTGGGCTGGCTGGCAAACTTTGTGTGAGAAGCGAGTGATGTGTTTAGGAGAATACAACACCAAGTCCTACGGACTAATAAAATATGAAACATAGGGGGTGTTTGGATCTGATTTTTAAAATTGCTTCTGCTCTTTCAGAGAGCAGAAGCAGAAGTTGGAGTGTTTGGGTGAAAATGCAGAAGTGATTTTGGTGCTCTAATTTACTCCTAGAATCAGTTTTTTAGAAGTTGGGGTTACCAGCTTCTGAAAACTGATTCTGATTCTGCTTCTGCTTTAAAAAAGAAGTAGAAGCAAAATCAGTTTCAAACACCCCATAGTGAGTCCAACTTTAGAATGTTTTTAATTGAAATGTAATTTGGGTCCAACTTTAGAAAGTTTTTAAATGAACTGTAATTCTCTGATCTGGCAGAGTACAATTAAAAACATCTGCGGATGAAAATTCTGGGGCACCATGGTATTAATTTAGTGAAAATGTGAAATGCTTGGCTCCCAATGGATTGGGTTGGTTAAAGTATGGAGAAAATTGATCAAAAAGCAATGTCATATGGGTGGACTTGGGCCGGGCCGGGGCCGGGTCGGGCCTAGGCCCGGGCGGGCCGCCGGTTCAGAATAGTTGGGCCCAGGACCGGCCCGGGCCTCGGGCCACTTCCTATTTTTTTTTCTAATTAATCCCCTAATACCCCCCTCACCCCTACCCCCCTCACCACCCCAAATGGCCCAAAACACCTAGCCCAACCCTGAAAAATAAAAAAAAATTGAAATAAATAAATAAATAAATAAAAGGCCCGGAACTGGGCTTGGCCCGGCCGGTTCATCATTTGGTGGACCTGAGCCCGCACCGTAAAATCACCGGGTTGGGCCTACCCGGACCGGTCCCTTGCTGGGCCACCGGGCCGGGCCAGGCCGGAACAGTACCGATCCTGCGCCAGTTCCGGGTCGGGCCACCCGACCCGAGTCCACCTCTACAACGTCATTTCTTGCATGGAATAGTTTTAACTTTTAAGTGAACTTTCATGAATAAAGTGGCAGGCTACCTTAATGGACATGGTGCATTGGTGCATTCATGAAATATATTTTCAAGAAGAGTTGGACTTGGGGTACACACTTTTTGTGTACACACTTTTTACATATGTCTGTGTAAGGTTTTTTTATGTCTGTACAGACATAACGTATTTTAAAAATACGTTATGTCTGTACAGACATAAAAAAACCTTACACAGACATGTGTAAAAAGTGTGTACACCAAAAAGTGTGTACCTTTAGAATTTTTCTTTCAAGAATGTACTTTATAGTTTAACCGTCGCATGCAAAAGACCACGTATTGGCCGGGTAAAGTTTGGAATGCAGATCCAAAAATTTAGTACAAAGATTTGCCTGCGTACAAGCAATACATCTTAAATAGGATTAAATAGATTTTAAAATTTTAAAATAGGAGTGATATGTTTTTTTCCTGAAATAGGAGTAACATGATACTCTGGAATATTTACTGTCATCTTGTAGTAATTATTGTCAAATAGTTGCAGTACTAGGTATTATAAACATGGCAATATTTACTATCATTGATGGTAATATTTTTCAATCATAATATTAGTTTTCAATCATGGCAGTAATGACTCTTATTTCGTGAAGAAATATAGCAATCCTATTTTGAAATTTCAAAACTTATTTACTCCTATTTATCACAATTTTTGAACAATACTTCTTATGGCGCGCAGGTAGGGGAGAGCGTCGGACGGGTTCGGGTTGGACGGGTTGAGATTTGGTAAACCCGTTCAGTTATTGGATTTGTAATTAGAAACCCTACCCTATCAAAAAGAATTATCGGACTATTCGGGTTGCACAATTTGGATTCCGATCGGGTTGAATCGGTTTTTGCGGTCATTCGGGTTATTATGTACCTATGTTGAAATCGTAAAAATAAAGTGGTAATTGATTAAAACCCATTAAAAGTCATAACTTTATAACATTCAAAGTAAAAGTTTGTACAAATATAGTAATAGATGTTTTAACATGCATAATAATATATCAAAAATATACTCGTACATAATAGGATGAATAGCAAGCTGTACTTGCAAGTCTGCAGTATAGCTAGTGAGCAAGAGTGACAATTCCCAATTCCAAAATCCAAATACATAAATACATAATGCAGTTCCAAAATAGTAAACAAAACATATAGAAAGTAGCAACTGGCAATTGGCAAATTTTAACAACATTCAACTTCAAGTGTTTAGATCTAGTTTCATGTTTCCCGGTTCCATCTTGGAGAGTTGGATCGGAGCATAACAGCTAGCAGCAGCCACTTAGCCAATCATTTTATTTGTTCCTATTTACATGACAAGGAAAAATATAAGTTTCATGAAAACACAAAGTCTTAATTATTGGGACTTGGGAGTTGGGAGCTATCAAAATTCAAAACTATGTAGAATCAGATTTGGCTCAGATTTTGTTTCACCTCACAAAAAATGGGGGCATAAAAAACTATATAAAAATAAAATCAACACCAACACATCAATTTTATTTTTAGTGGAAGCTATCATCATTGCCAAAATAAACAAACAATTAATGCAATAACTGATAAATACATTTGCAAATTCCAATAGTTCCAACAAGGCAACAAGTAAGAAGTGTATATTTTGGCTCAGATTGTTTATTCACTTCACAAAAAATGATGGCATACAAAACTATATAGAAATAGAATCAACACCAACCCATTAATTTCATTTTTTGGTGGAAGTTATCATCATTGCCAATATATGCAAGTATGCAACACTTAATTTATAAACAATCAATACATTTGCAAATTCCAGTAGTTCCAACAAGGCAGCAAGTAAGAAGCGTATATTTAGGCTCAGATACTTTATTCATTTCACTAAAAATGGGGGCATACAAAATTATATAGAAATAGAATCAACGCCAACCCATTAATTTCATTTTTTGGTGGAAGCTATCATCATTGCTAATATATGCAAGTATGCAACACTTAATTTATAATCAATCAATACATTTGCAAATTCCAGTAGTGCCAGCAAGGCAACAAGTAAGAAGCGTATATTTAGGCTCAGATTATTTATTCACTTCATTAAGAATGGGGGCATACAAAACTATATATAAATAGAATCAACACCAACCCATTAATTTCATTTTTGGTGGAAGCTGTCATCATTGCCAATATATGCAACGCTTAATCTATAATCAATTAGTATAGAGAGAAACAAGATTACCATGTCTTGTTGTACAAACACACTAATTAGGTGAAATTGTACTAATGAAACAACAACACTTCCATTTACCATCATAGCAGCAGAGTTATGCTTTTGCAGCTAGAACATTCACAGAATGACAGAATCATAGCATATCATATCATTAGTGAAGTAACATATTACATATTTAAAAGATAAAGGAAAACTTTTACTATTATCTGAACAAGAGAAGGGCCTCCACCAACATTGCCATCAGTTAATTATGCATTGAAAACACAACATTAAGTTAACAATAAGTTGAAATATAAAATTTGAAAACTGAATGTGTAAAAGCTTGTACCTGTTTCCAACCTATCTACCTCTTCAATGTTTTCTTCTATTGAGACAGGTTGATTGGACATCCTTAACCAATCTTGAGCACATATGAGGGCTTCCACAAATTTGGCACTTAGTGAACTCCTAAAGCAGTCTAACACTCTTCCACTTATACTAAAAGAGGACTCAGAAGCTAATGTGGAAATAGGAACAACAAGAATATCTCTTGCCATCTTAGATAGAATGGGAAACCTCTCACCGTTAAGCTTCCACCATCTCAATATGTCAAATTCACTGTCCTCTTCAATTATGTTCTCACTCAAATAAGTTTCAACTTCAATTTTTTTCAAGCCTAACACCCCACTGTCTTGTTTTTGTTTTTTCAACTAGGCTTTCAATCTGGAGACAGGCCTACCCCCGGTTGATTCAGATTGCAAAGGAACAACATTTGGGGTTAAAAGGGAGCTTAAACTAACAGAGCCATCATAGTTTGTAACATAATCACTATACAACTCATTCAACCCCAACTTTATCTTTTCAAAGAAGGCCTTACCTATCTTTTCCTCATACAACGTGTTGGGATATTAATTGGGACGAAGGCCCAATACCCGGCCCAAAGGCCACTAGGGAGAACGGGCCCAGGAAGAGATGTAACCCGAACGGGAACCGAGGGTCCATAATAGTTCACTCGGGTCGCGAACGGGGAACGGCTCACATGATATACTTGAGGCAGATTGACAGGACACCAGACAGGATCACCATTCCGCTGCCTGAACGGGCAGCCTGCAACTGGCAAAGTGCATTAAATGCTAGAGGATGACGTCAGCAAGTGGAAGCATGAGCGTTCAAGTGGCTGGATTAGCAACCAATTAACATGGAGCACCCCATACCCCCACCTACCCCTTTTTAGTATAAATAGGGGTATTAATTACATTGTAACGGGTTAGCATTTTGATACTTAAGGCCTAGAATAGCTTTCTCACTCTTTTTCTTACATTAATCACTATTCCGACGTGCCGTTTGGGAAGTTTCCTGTGTAATCAACAAATTACTTAATACAAGTGGGCTTTTGAGCACAATATTACTCAGCTTTTATATTTTCTTTTATCCTCGACCTATTTTACACGTCCTTAATATCCAAAGCGGGTGTTGGGCTTTCGGATCTACGGGACTAAACCTCAACATTGGCGCCGTCTGTGGGAAACTTGAACGGAAAGTTTTCAAACCAACCATTTACCCAAACATCAGCCTACTATCAAGATGCTCAGAATCACCTCTCATCATACCAATGGAAGTTCGGAGCGATGCGGAGGGAGCAAGACTCCGGGGAGCTGTACCTCCCAAGGACAATCCAGCCGGGGATCTTACCAACACTTTGATGGGAACT